TTTTTGGGTAATTGCAAAGGTGGGAATAAAAGACATACATTTGTGATTCAAGTGATTTAGTATTTATTTGTAATAACAATACACACACTTACAAGTACACAAATCTTCCTCGACATACATAAATCATATGGCGTTTTAATTCCAATTTAAATGAAGGTGAAAAATAAGTTCATTTCAAGTGGTTTAAATTTAGTGGACTTCTTTAACAGAAATAACGAAATTCAACAATTACTAGTAATGCATTTAAAGTCAAGTAATTTATAAATTCAATGAAACAAAAGAAATAAAATTCTAGTTATAAGCTAAAAATATTGAAAGGGTTTGGGTTTGGGTAGGAATCAGAAAAAAAATCACGCTGGTCATCAAAACTTAGGGCAATCACGTGGGGTTTGACAGGTACATGGTGGTCCTACTTATTTCTGGAGCATGCGGATCGGTTGCCTCCTTGCCACTCGGTTGTCTTAATCCAACATCAAGTCGTTCAGGGCCATGCCTTCAATCTAGAAAAATACTATCGCAAAACGGCTGAAAATAATAAGTTTAACAACATAATACGTCCTAGTAATAAAATAAAGTGACGTTCACGTCCATGTCCTACCATGGCAACAGCCGAAAACATGTTGCTTGTTTTTTTGAGTGGAGCGGATCGCCAACCAGCCTACTGGCTTGTTGAGTGAGCAGTCAGCTAGGGGATCTGATTCACAACCTCACCGTTAAGTGGGAAAGTCGCTAATCATACTACCATGTCCACGTTTTATAGTAACAATACGCTATATTATATAATATTTTAATACATGCTAAAACTGACTGCTAGAACTGATGTTTACTTGGCTAAAAATAAATGATTTTGAATCCTTAACAGTTATAAAATTCAATTTATCTGGTGATGTCACTAGTGAAATTGTCATAAATAGTAACCGCTGATACGGGGCGCAGACAAATTATCAATACTAAGTGAAGCCGATATCGCTGTTATATTTGAAAATAAAAATACAATAAAAACGAGCCGCAAGGGCGATACACAGTCCAAATTGACACAACATAAATACTAGTATACAAATCTCACTATGTCTCTTTCAAGCTATGACAGCCATGTGTGCATGTCTTGAAAAGAGCAGTTGCAACTATGGTAAATAATTAATTGTCAATGGCCGTATGTATCTAATATACAGATATACAGAACAGATATCAGGGGATTTAAACAACCTAGACATGGGAATTGGAGCCAATAATATGTCCAAGAATATAATAATGTTAAGGTAAGTTGTGATCGTAAACATTACACTGTAAAGGTCGTCACTCACCGACAAGATACGCCAATGTCGTTGTGATCCATATGATTTCCATTTTGCGACACTGATATCAACGCTCCATCAACGATGTGTAGCTGCAAACATTGGTGTATATGGGGTAGCGGCTACTACCCACAGCTTCCAAAAAGGTAAAAGCTGAAATACCGAACCAGTGTTTTATATTGCATGAGTAATCGGATAGCACACAACACGTCCAGTGAACAGCGGTAGAGTCTAGATATAATGCCACCGGTGTAACAGTTTGTTCGAAGACATCACAGAAAG